CACTCAGGATACTTTGCGAAGCCTCAGTATAGTTCTCGAGCCATAACTCCCATCTGTGAATCTGTGAAAGTGTCTTAGAAATCGGTTGGTAATTACATTTGTTTCCTAGAGCGTGGGGTGAACTTCATCGATGACCTCTGACTAAAATTATACAGTATCAAGCTATGTTAAGAGGCCGATCAGCTGTCAAATCCAGTGCGGTAACAGAGGCATAAAGAACCTTACCAAATACTCAGCCAATCTTCAATTTCACTCAATAAGAAACTAATAACTTGAACATTTAAAACTGTCCTTAAGTAATAATGGAGGTGTTGAGGATATTGTCTGATTTTATTACTTTTTTTTTAACTATTTTTCAACACCCAATTCATATCCGGTATATATATATAAACTGAAGAAAATATACCAGTTTTTAACATTTTGTACAAGGTGACACACGCAACAATTAACACAACCCTAACTAGCATGTAACACGACCCCATACACTGTTGATACGTGACTTGTACTGTATATTGAAACATGTATTAAAAATGTTCGGTGAAATACATTACGTTTCTCTAAGTATCTAACACCTTTTCGTATCACAATTAAAAAATAATCTAATGTCTGAAAATTTTCCACTATAAAGGTCCAACAACTTTTAACGATCTATAACAACAACATGAAATAACAAACTGCTCGGTGTACATCAGAGGTAGGAGGGCTTAAACAAACGTGTAACTTCATTGACTCGTAGTTTTACACTGGATTACTGGAACCCATTAAACACTAGATATGGAACTCCTGGAAAAACTGATTTCTAGTTCCAGATCTGTCTAGAATTTTAAGTCACTTGATGCTCTGAATATAATTATTTGAGTTTATTCACGTATTTTAGTTAGAGACGTAGAATAACAAGATAGGGAATATTTATGTATTATTACCGTATGTCTTCAATTAAGAGGAAATTAACTCATATATGGTAGGATTAAGCTTCACCTCAAGCAGCCTTTGTTATCTTAAGCAAGTTTTCTCTAAATTAGGTTAGGTGAGGTAAGGTAAGGTAAGGTTAGGTTAGGTTAGGTAAGGTAAGGTAAGGTAAGGTAAGGTTAGGTAAGGTAAGGTAAAGTAAGGTAAGGTAAGGTTAGGTTAGGTAAGGTAAGGTAAGGTAAGGTAAGGTAAGGTAAGGTAAGCTAAGGTAAGGTAAGGTAAGGTAAGGTAAGGTAAGCTAAGGTTAGGTTAGGTAAGGTAAGGTAAGGTAAGGTAAGGTAAGGTAAAGTTAGGTTAGTTAGGTAAGATCTGATACAAATAATCTGAATCATATATACCTAAGTAATTGCTCGTAAGTACAGACAAACTAAATAATACTATAAACAAGACACACTGAATTTAACTAAATACCACAATTATCTCTAAAACGCATAAAATATTAAGAAATAAAACTAAATTTCCCTTAAAACATAATTCCACAATAACCAGATTTGAGAATTATTAATTTTTCACGGGTATTTTCCTTATTTCCAATTGGTTAAAAAAATAAAATAAAATCTGCCATGTTGATAACGCTAGAGGATGATTGATGCTCGGCGCTAATTGGTCAGCCACGAACTCAAGGCATGGTATGATTGGCTTTTCTCTGTCCTCTCATTGCAGCCTAGCAGTCCCTCCCCCCCCCCGCTGTTGTGATACAAACTTCATAATAACACTCATACACAAGCCACTACCCGCCTTCCTTAGCCATGGTAGGTACAGCCATTAGGTAAATAAGTTAAAATCTGTCGCATTGACGTGAATTTAACCACAATTTTTGCTACTCTGTCCGCACCTCTATGGCAGATTATTGTTTTTAATTTGGTCTAGCTGTCTGTCTGTCTGTCTGTCTGTCTGGCTGGCTGGCTGGCTGGCTGGCTGTCTGTCTGTCTGTCTGTCCCCAAAACAGCTCGAGAACAGGTAAGCAGATGTGTAGCCGATGTTTTCTCCTTTCAATGACTTTCACCTGTAATGGACCACTACAGCTTCTAATATAGAGTACAGTAAATGACTCTTCTGTATCTCCTCATTTTCACTGTATTAAAAGATATGGGAGACAGTAAATGTGTGTAAACTAAAAAATAAATATATGTGTTTTTTTTTTTTATTTCTCTGTAATATTTTTTTGGCCACTGATCAATGTTTTTTTTTTATCGTGTAATTAAAATCCGGAAAATCTCACAAATATCCGGGAATTATCCAGTTAAGAGACTTTTGTATTGTTAACAGTACATGTCCTAGTAGATGGAGTTATTCCTTATCCAGGATAGCAACCTACCAGCTATTTAATGTCGCCTAATAGGGACCTAATAGCGATAACTTTTATTTTTATTTTAAACTTCTCATTAAACCATATACCAGGATGTAGATGACAATAATATGTATAAAATAAGTTTCATTCACAACTTAACCCAACCTAACCTAACCTAACCTAACCTAACCAAACTTAGTAAATCAACCTTACCTAACCTAACCAAAACCTATCCTAACGTTCTTAATGTAAAATTTGGCTACCCTATAAAGGTAAAAGACGCCTTAAACGACACAGAGTAAAAAAAATATTACCATCTACGGTATATTAATTAATTTACATTAGGTAGTAACAATAAAAAGATAATAAATATCCTTATTTGGCAAAAACGTAAAAAAAAAACACACCTTAATTGCCTTTCACAGCTTAATCGACAATTATCCTTATTTAGCCACACACACACACACACACACACACACACACACACACACACACACACACACACATATTGGAGCGGTCTTAAAAATAACAAAACAGCGATAAAGATTCGTCCATAAAACACACTACCAAGTCTCTCAGTATAAAAACATCGTTGAGGCGTCCCCTGTCGGTCCTAGATCAAGCTAGCCACTGTGAAGCCATCAGTAACACACACACCCTATACACCACAGTATTAAGTTCACCTGAGAATACACAATGAGCCAATCAGAGACTGGTACCTCACACCACTTGACCTCCACGAACCAATGGCAATAGTGGTGGTGACATTAAGAGAATTATTGAGGAATTTTCACCATTTAAAATGATAGAACGTATCTTAATTATATCCCGTATGGTATTTTCGACTTATACCTGTAGCCTAAACTACTCACTAAATTATTTTCTCAGTAATAACATCTACAATCTTCAGTTTAATCTGTCCCCCCCACTCCCTCCCAAAGATGTCAGTGTTACTCAATGAAGACAAATAACATTATCCACTGAGTTATCTAATTTGGTTGATATTTCAGTATACAACCAATAACCAAAATACCATAAGAAAATTCGTAATATGTGATAAAGTTTTGTTGGTATAAAGGCATTTACTGAAAAAATAAAAAAAAATAAAAAAAAGTTAAGGATTAGGCTCCGTCTGTGGCTACCATAGCTAGGGAGACATCTTTTGCCATTATCTGTTTACATTGTATACTGTACACTCTTTCCTACTAGTCCTGTGTGTGACCCCTATACACTCAGCCAATGGTTTACACATACTGTAGAGTGTGTGTGTGTGTGTGTGTGTGTGTGTGTGTGTGTGTGTGTGTGTGTGTGTGTGTGTGTGTGTGTGTGTGTGTTATTCTAATAGATATAATTACAAAATAGCGAGAACTTCTATTTTCTTCAACTTCTGACTAACCTATAAGACAATCATTGTAGATATCATAATACATAGAAATAAATAGAGTTTCATACTAAACTTAACCTACAACTGTATATGTATAATGATGGTAAATCTCTTAAATGAAGGATAACAAATGTGACCAAACATTAATAAATTTCCATTAAGTTATAACAATAAACGGGGACAACTTTTGGTTAGTCTATAAATCAATTGGTATGTTTATTTTAATACAGATATAACTTAAGGAGTCATGGTTAGGTTAGGTTAGGTTTGGTATGGTATGGTTAGGTTAGGTAAAGTTAGTACTTATGATATTTATTTAATATATTAATGCTATCTACATTGCTTCTCTATGCACATTCATTTCGAAAATATAAAAAATTACTGTTATCAACCAATGAACGGATATATATATATATATATATATATATATATATATATATATATATATATATATATATATATATATATATATATATATATATATTAAACCTTTTATAGGGGAAACTATCAAATCAGTGTTTGCTTGCATGCTGGTATGTGAAGTACACCGACTGAACTAAACACAATCTCTTCTTTTTTTTCAGAAACTCCGCTAAGTTGTTGAAGAAACATTACATGATGCGTGGGAGACACAGCCAGAAGAACACAAAACAAAAACAATCAAAAGGGCGGGATCTCAAAGAGGTGAAAACATGGCACGCTTAACTCATGTGTCAGGGTGCAGTATGGACCTAAAGTGGATCCCACCAGATAAGAAAATATCATTCAGTTTATGGTTAAAAAAAAAATCCTGAAGTGTAGCCTCGATCAACTAACAGGTCATTCTACGGCTTAAACTACATAACGTAGAATTTATACGTCGCTACATAAGGAAACGTCAACACCTCGTCATGCACCTTATGTACACCTGTGTTAAGGTTGGATCAGTTACCATTTGTTTGGTGTTATTGTGCTTGGTTGGTGTAGACCACGCTGACATATTGTACTGTGTAGGTCTACCACTACACGCCGTATAGTCTACTGCACGTGTTACTGAGTCTTGATTTACACTTACAGTACAGTGTATAGATCCAGTTTTTACTTTAGTTTGTTTTTGTACTTAAGTAACCTGCTGTAGTGTACACATCAAGTCTACACCAATTGAAACAGTAGCAATGAGGTTGAAGTGATGGATGAAAGACCTCGTCAATGGAAAGATGTTGACGACTAATGTTAATAAATAAATATATATATATATATATATATATATATATATATATATATATATATATATATATATATATATATAAAATGTAGCTATATTACTGTAGTGAGTGGGTGGTATCACAAAACAGCATTGTTTAAACAAGTATTTACCTGGAGTAATTTGTACAGGTGGTGGCAGCGTTAGCGAGGATCAGTGTGCAAAAGTTTGTAGCATCCTGAGTTCTACAGGTAGGTGGTTGATAGTCTTGAGCGGGGAATTCCAAACCCAAAAAGTAACAATAATAAACTCTAACCAGACTGCACCAGTGACTAAAATAATCTTAATCTAACGCTTCACTGAGGTGGTCTTCGGCACTCCCTACACATCAACACTTCTACTTTCTGGTCAGAGGTAAAACTTGCAGATTTCCGAGGCATTGCTCAGGGCGGGTGAAGGGTTCCCAGGTGCAGTACACGCACCACACCACCAGCCCGCCACACCCGTCAGTCGTACCAGTGAGCCTGTGCGTGTGTCCCTAGCCGCTCTAAGTCACTCCCATGACTGCTGCAAGAAACGGAGTGTCGTGTGGGACTGGTGCGGTCCCCTCAGTTAGACTGTCATCTCAGCACTAACCTCCCGCGCGCTGGGTTACCAAGTTGCAACCAGCAACTCCTGAGTTGCCAATTTTGAGTATTTGCACTACCGTTCGGTTTAATTGAATGCGTTTTAAGTTATATATTTCGCATGATGGCAATTACATATACAGGTATTTATACAGGCGTGTATATATATATATATATATATATATATATATATATATATATATATATATATATATATATATATATATATATATATATATATATATATATATATATATATATATATATATATATATATATGCAATTGCCATCATGCGAAATAATCACGTTTGTTAAAACGTCCATGTTGAATAGTTTTGCTCCGGGAACATACTTCAAATATTTCTTATTGGTAAACATTATTTGTTCACGTCACAAGAAAAAACATTAATTTAGTGATTGCGTCTTGTTTCAGTAAAGAAATTTGCTGGTCTGCATCACGGAACAAACGCGTAATTTGTTGGTCTGCGTCACGGAACAAACGCGTAATTAGTTGGTCTGCGTCACGGAACAAAGGCGTAATTGGTTGGTCTGCGTCACGGGACAAACGCATAATTTGTTGGTCTGCGTCACGGGACAAGCGCATAATTTGTTGGCCCATGTCCCAGAAAATCTAAATTTAAGTGTCTTTCCTTAGTCACTGTTACCGGACAATCGCGTTAGCTCCTACTCTGCGTTACTGGACAATACACTATCTCCTACACTGCGTTACTGGACAATACACTATCTCCTCTTAATCCCAGGACAACCACATGTTTTGGGGATATCTATCGACACGATCCATCTCTTTTCCTCCCGTGACATAAATTGGTCCTTTCCTTCACTAAAGGTCATTGCGACATAAAATCAAACTACTAAAAGGTTGTTAGGCCTTCACGTCATGACCCTAAACCACCAGACACTTATTATCACTCGCTCACCAATGTTCTGTGCGTCTTATACTTGTACGGTACCTGAAAATTAGTTATCCTGGGACGAACCTGTTAATGAAATAGATACCTGTAGAGGTAATTAGAACACGTGTTAGGTGTTCTTCTCTGAAACCTTGAGATACACAGGTGAAAGATTGGTTTTATTTACTCATTAATGGTTGATCTTATTTACTATATAGATAAACATTTAGTGGACAGTCAATTGAGCTTATCCCTCAGTCAAACGAAATTGTTCACCAGTCAGTTAAATTTGAAAATCACTTAACTGAACGTGTCTACTAATCAGCTGACAGAAGATGAGTGTAACTCAGTCGTGAATTTCAGACACCTCATACTCAGGGGTACGGGTATTCCTCAAAAAGTCATGCCACCGGGTGAGCTTACGTGCTAGTTCAGTTTATCGTGTGTACAGTGGGTTTGATATACGCACTAGCAGCCCGTGAACACAACAACAGCTAGAGGAAGATAATACGCCAAACACCTGATCACCTAAACATAACCTATATATAAATAACCAATTAAGTACATCTTCTTATATAGTAAACATATATAACACCCGGTTGACTCGCGCCCCCCTGCCAGTGGTATTATGATCTAGCAGACAAGAGAACGTGTGTATCAACCAGCCCTAAGAGAACGTGTGTACCAGCCCTAAGAGAACGTGTGTACCAGCCCTAAGAGAACGTGTGTACCAGCCCTAAGAGAACGTGTGTACCAGCCCTAAGAGAACGTGTGTACCAGCCCTAAGAGAACGTGTGTATCACTTAGATTAATAAGCTTATAAGGTTGAATATATTGCCAGTCAGAATGTACATGAGAGACAGTTCAATATGGTGTCTTTCTCTTGGTGATTATGCAGCAGTGAATGTCAAGACGACCTCACTATAACCCCCCCCCCCACAATTTCTTTCACTATTGAGAAGACTAAATAAAATGTGGTTTTATTTTTTTTTTCATCTTTATCCGTAAGTTTGACCACAGAAATCCCCCAGCTCATTTAATATTGTAATCTATGTGTTTATTTTTTTCACCTACATCATTCAAGTCTAATCAAATTAATGAAAAATAGTACACACATATTCTATTCTTTAAGTAAAATATGTAAGAGATTATTATCGAATTCACACTTAAGCGAGCAGTAATTTCGCCAATACTTGTACGTGTGGCAGGGCAGCGCTCACTGAGAGAGAGAGAGAGAGAACATGCAGTAGAGAGAGAGAGCTACGCTACATGGTGCCTGCTTGGCTGCCTCCTCTCTTTAATTGTAAGCTACCACACTAGGTCTTTCTCTATCCATTACAGCAACTCCTAAGTCATTGTAATACAATTCGTTAAGATGTGTGAGAAATCAACCACCAAGTTCAATTTTAATGAAGACAAAAAATATAATAAGAAAAAAACTGCCAATCTGATGAACGTAAGAACCTGTTAAAACTTCTAACAATAACCGATAGCGTAAGATACAATGTATAATATAATGTGTAGGTACATATACAAATTCTCCAAGCTCTTTGGTGACTTAAAACTCACCAAAGGAAAAAAACACAAGAAAATAGTATATAAATTCGTGCTGGTAAAGAGAAACACGCAGTCTTAAAGTTGTCGTACTGGAGTGTGCGTGTGGCAGCGGTTGGGGCCCCGGAGAGGAGGCAGGAGTGTGTGTGTATGGCGCGCCACCATAGCACCTGCTGGGCCCCTCCCACCACCGTCAGCCGCAGCCATAATGTTGACCACCGGTACACCCACTCGCCATGCATACCGTTCCTCCTACTCGCAGACAAAAGGGTACAGAACGAGCGGGGGAGGAACAGTGGCTATTAGAGAGGGGGGGAGGGAGGGGGCAGAGGTTGAAGGTGAAAGCCGGTAGTATGTAGTAAAGAGAGCAAGAGGGTGGATAATCAATACTGATGAGAGCGGAGCATAGGTGTTGTTTGACCTTACCGCCCCGCCCCACCCCCCGCGCCTGACCATTTCTACTCTCCTCTCTTTACCTCTCTCTCTCTCTCTCTCTCTCTCTCTCTCTCTCTCTCTCTCTCTCTCTCTCTCTCTCTCTCTCTCATTCATCTAGTACCCATTGTCTCTACCCCATTACCTGCCCCCCCCTAGCATCTGAGCTTAACTTAACTTGGGTCCCATTAACTTTCTCCTCACTTTACCTGGCCACATTAACACCCCCCCCTCACATGGCCTCATGAACTCTCTCCTTACTTTACCTGGCTCCTCCATCTATATATCCCCTTCGGCTGGCCCCATCGTGTTTCCCCCTAACACCTGGCCCCATCACTTTCCTCCCTTCATTTTCCCCCATCACCTGTTTCTTCCCTTCACTTGGCCCCACCATATCTCTTCCCTCCCCTTCACTTGACCCCTTCACCTGGCCTCATTATGACACGTGTTGGAGGATATCATTACTGGAGCTCAAACACCTGTATATTCTTATCTACCGGCGGCAATTAGCAGGAAAAATAACATCCTCCCCATCCACGACTAATTAACGAGTGTCGGCAGCTGCTCTATAAAGGCGTCTTAACTGATGGTGTTTCGTCAGGGATATCGACAAGAGGAATTAATTGGTGGGAATTTATACCCCTCACACTTTATCATATACATTTAGGTATATAATTTCAAGAGTTGTCCAGCATATTAGTCATAAAGGATGTCCAGAATTAAGAGTAACATCCCCCCAGTGCTCGTAAATCCCCCCCCCCTCACCCCTCACCCCATCATCGTTTGTTTGCCAGTCGTAGTAACAGTTTCTTCACCTTCCTACAACAAGGCGCCAATTTGTCCATCTGGTTTACCGCTGTCGTTCTACGCCACTCTACGCCATCGTTTCCAGTCATTTACGCATATTCCCTCCCCCCCCCTCCCTCCCACCCCGCTCTTAGAACATAAGAACATAAGAAAATAAGGAGTCTGCAATAGGCCGGTTGGCCTGTGCATGGCAGCTCCTGTCGAGAGTTACTACCACCTCTCTATCATCCATGAATCTATCCAGCCTCCTTTTGAAACTTTCCAGAGTTCCCGCACTTACTACAAAGTTGCTAAGCTTGTTCCACTCGTCCACCATCCTATTTGTGAACCAGTTTCTTCCTATCTCCCTCCTAAACCTAAACCTCCGTTACGTGTGTGTGTGGGAGCTCCCGTCTCTCCTAAACATCCTCATTCGAATTAAACACTTTTGATCAATATTTTCTCTATGTTCATATTATATATTACAAGCATCCTGGTCACTCCACGAATTGCTTTCAATCATATCAGTTCTGCAGTTCCGTCTCATCTGACTTTATTTCCTCTCTCTTGCATCCATCCAGACTCCATCCAACATAAGTCCAACTATTATTTAGAACCCAGTACATCAGTATCAGTGTCTCTTTTGAAATATTTTGTTTTGTATACATTTCTCAATACATTATTTATCTTCATATCCTGAATTATTCTATGATTCTATTTTTGTTCACCTAGAGTTTTATTTAAAATATATACAGTCTCTATTTACGATATCCTCCAGTTCTTTCTACTACCTTTTTACGGATCTATAAATACTACACAAAAAAGTAAAAAACAAAATATATATATAAATAAAATAAAACCGGCTCGTTCCTTTCCATCAAATAGTTTTCATTCAAATTCCATATTAATGTAAACACCTTTATCCATATATCCAATTTTGTTTCCTGATTCTTTACCTCCCCGCCCCCCTTCATAATATCCTTCCCGGGACAACCTTGCGTGCGAGCCACAATTATCTGAGACATGACTGGCACCGCACACTTTCACGGGTAATGGTTAACAAACTCTTATTTCTCTATCCATTTAACATGCATTCTCATCATTCTTTCATAACTTAATAGAAGGGAAAGGTTTCACAGTTTCTGATATTTCTCTGGTACATTATCATATACACTCTTCTTCTCTATTTTATCACCTTTTTTTTCCATTTCTTTTCTTTAAATTTGTTCTGGTGATTTCGTCTGCTCTTGGTGTATTACTATTTCAAGTTTACATTAGTTTTCTCCTTCGATTTAACACTTTTCATTCCTT